TGTTGAGCGCTAAGACATTTTGAAAATCTAAAAACCCAGACATCATCGCCCAAAAACTAACACATATCCACAAACAAAAGGCAAACAAAATCAAACGAATCACCATAAAGTCACGTCATCCACTCGCATCGATTCGCTGCATAAAATACAAAACAATAAAACAACAACAACAAAACGATATGTAGGAAAGCCTACAAACTAAAAAAAAATTGGGACCTTAAACGAATAAATTGTGAAAAAATTGAAAATAAATACAATCACATACACATTTGTATGGTAAATCGAAAAAAAATAAATGTGAAAAGGTACTTGCAACGTGACCGCAACTCTGATGCTTTGTTTTGCTTGTTTTCCTTGCTCTTTTTCACCACACATGCGCCTACTCAGTCGTCGATCGTAGAACACTTACTTACTTGTGTTAGTACATTAAAAGATGCAGGCAATTGTAGATTGTAGAGTTAGCAGAAGTGTACGACTGGGTTTTTTTGTAGATTTTTTTTTTAAGTGCATAGTTTGATATACAATTCGCAGTGTAGTTTTTTTATTGTTATTCGCTCCGTGTATTTAGAAATAGTAGTGCATCGCTTTTTATAGCATATACCCTTTTCTGTATGTAGAGTATATTTGTGAATGTTTATTTGAGTATTGGCTTGGTGCTTGGGCTTGATCAACTGCGATCGACTGTACGTGTAGGGGTTTGTATATGGCACGCTTACTTGGAAAGTGATAATTTTATACTGAAGTAGTCATAATGAAGGCTTATTCAAAAAATTTAAAAAATTTTTAGAGGTTTTCGGATAATTGAAAATTGCTTTTTGCGACTCCAAATATTATTTCTTTATAATGGAATTAGGAGAAGATAAATAACACCGGCACACCCCCAAAACAAAACCATGTGTTAAGTGCTTTTAACCAGACCCACCTACCGACGTGTAGTTCGATCCACTGAATCCAAATCTGACATCCGTTTGTCTTGTAAGCCTCCTAAATTTCGAGTTAACTGCGAAAACTGTGAGAGCGTTTAATCGAAATTTTGAGGGTGAACTAGTCAAACGCACCTCAGTGGGTGGTCTGGTTAAAACCACGCACCACTTAAACACCAGATTTCTGAGGTCTTCAATTTCTGGGGGCTTTATTGAGAAAAACTAATCATTTTCTCTTTTTTTTAGGCTACAAGCCCTAGCACTCAGACACAGTTTGTGTTTTATATCAAAGGGCAGACCTATGCGCGAATTGATCTCGTTAATCGCTCACACTTTGTAGTAAAGAGAATGACCCAAGATTTTTCCAGTTTCTGTAGTCAACAACTGTTGACAAAGTGCTAAACAGCGCATTCATCCTCCAGGCAAGAACGACAGACGCTGCCAACCGAAAAACCTTTTCCACATATGCGCTTGCTTAGGAGACAGGAGTGTAGTGACCGGTTCAAGTACAGACAAATGTCCTACAAATGCTCATCTTAGAGTTGGTAGCCAAGCAGATTCATGAAGAAACCCTTCGGGTTCCATTGGCAGATATTTTGCGCTCTGCCTTGCAAATTGATCAGTCAGTTCACAGATGCTGCTAGAAAATCGCTACGCAAAATTTTCGTCGCACAATTCTCTGAATGAAAAACAGCGTGCCTAAAAGTATACAACATGGAAAAGCAACAAGTACAATGTGTAATCAGTCAAGTCTGTCCGTATGAGCGGCATGTAACTAGATCTTGCATATTGTTAGGCGCGTCTGTTACTATTTTTGAGATTTTTGGCATATAAGGTTCCCCTAAGCGAAGCAATATGATCCAATATTGGTCACGATTTCTATACCATTATTCTAAATATTTAAACATAGAGATAGATTTTTAAGCCTGACACAAAAGTAATATATGTATCAGGACCAGGAAAAAGCTCATTTTGTAAGGGAAAACACTTAGAATACATAGGAAGTTATATCGAATACTGGAGCTCACCAGTTATGTGCTTATCGACGTTGTCAGATAACGGCTGCATGCACAGTCTAAGCATTGTAGTATATGTATAAATATAATAATAGAGCCAACGGTTTAGCAAAAGTACAACTACAAAGACGGTTACTTTACTTGAGCTATGGTTTTCTCATAAAAGTTTGCAGTCAAACTGATCCAACCTCACGAGAAATTTGTATTTTACCAACCGAAATTCTCCTTCTCCAAATGAAGGGAGCAACGCTAGTTTTTAAGTGGTTGACGGACACACCTCCATCTAGAGTGAAGTTGAAATTGTACTCTAAAATAAGTGCTGTCGTTTGTTATGAATGGGCATCGGCGTAAATTTTAGTTCGACTTGGCGTGTCCAAGAGAAGACAGAACGCACCAGGACAACGCCTATTCAAATAGTATCAGAATTTGAGAGAAAAAAAAGAACGGTTTTAGTAATGAAGTCTTTCGCTAGCATGGGCATAAGCATTAGAAGTTATACATATAAATTAAACCCAGCAATGGATTTTCATGTCAAGAGTTGCGATGACGTCAAAACACTTACTTGCTTTTCGATTCAAAATTAAAAGTAGTAAGTAATTTTGTGTTGAACATTACTGGTTTAATCAGATTAAGTTCGCTAAAATTTCTTACATACATACATTTTTTCTAATATTTTCTAATAAATGTAAAAGTATCTATTTCGCGAGAAAAACTTTGCATAACTTTCCACAAACCCACTTACATTCATACTCAGCCATTAGCATTGCATAAAAACAATCGCCATTCATCAGTTTTTTTTTTAACTTTGATTAAAATTTTTAATATTTGAAACAAAATGATAGCACACAATTCCAGATGTGACCAAAATTGACTTCAAAATCCACTTAACTAAATACAGTTGAAAATAAGAGCCAACAAAACTTAAAACTTAAAAAGTGAAAGTGTACAAAAAAGTTAGCGAAAAATAGCAGCGCACACATCCCCAAATAAAGTATATCCCTAAAAAATGCGTGAATATCGTAGGCGTATACGCAACCTCAATTTTGGAATACATCTAATTCGCGCGCGTCGCATTTGTGCAGCGTACATTGGCGAAACCTAAGCCAACAAGCGAAAAAACCAACAACAACAAGGGCGCGCATAAAATTAACAGTAAAGTGCATAAAACGGTGCCAATTGGTGAAGTAGCGCGCCGTGACAATTGCCGACGCCGTCGGTTGAACACACCAACCAACGCCAGCGGCAGGATGTCGTCGCAGACGAGCGCTTGCAACGGCTTCTTCCAAGAGCATGCGAACAGCGCGTTGAATCAGTACTTCCAGCAGTTGAACTCGAATGCGGCCGCCGCAGCTGCAGCGGGCATGAACAGCAGCAACAATAGTGACAGCAGCGCCAATGAGGGCAGCGGCAGCGTGACCAGTTCATCGCTGGATGGCAACCGCAGTAGCGCCAGCAGCATTGATTCAACGAAATCGGTGAATAGCAACGGCAGTGGCAGCGCAAATGTGCAGTGGAATAGTATACAACAGCAGCAGCAGCAACAGCAGCAGCAGCAACAGGCGCAGCACCAGCATCAGCAACAGAATCAACATCAGCAGCAGCAACAGCAACAACAGCAGCCGCAGCATATGCACCATTCCCAGCAACCACAGCAACAGCAGCAGCAGCAGCAGCAGCACAGCTCACATCAGCAGCAACAACAGGCGCAACAGCAGCAGCAGCAACCGCAACCACAACAACATAATCATCATCAGCAACAACAACAACAACAACAGCATCATCATCAGCAGCAGCAGCAACAGCATCCGCAGTCGCATCACCAGCACCATCAGCAACAGCAGCAGCAGCAACAACAACAACAACAACCACAACACACTCATCAACAACAGCATCACCAACAGCAACATTCGCATGCCGTCGCCCATAACCAACTGTCGGCGCTAAGTCAAACACTGGCCGCAGCTGCCGCTTCGAATGTCTCCGCCAACACAAATCCGCACTCCATTTTCGGCACCGGCAATTTCCACTATAAAACAAACAATTCCTGGACAATACCGACACTCTCCTGCTACCAACGCCTCTACAGCGAGAACCAACAACACTATCATCGACAGTTCGCCGGCAGTGGCGGTGGCAATGGCGGCTCCGGTGGCGGCACTGGAGCAGGCGGTAATGGCGCTGACACCCCGGTGATTGGCAGTAATGCCGGCGGTGGTGGCAATGCTGGGGGCAGCTGCAATGTGGGCGTAAGTGCGAATGCCGCTGCAGCAGCCACAGCCGCCTCAGTGCAACATGTTGCCAACGCTGTAGCAGCAGCCGTGATGGCCAACGAGCAGCATCAGAGTCACTTGAACAGCTTGAAGGCGCGCTTCCAAGCGCCCGGCGGTAATGCAGGTAAATCGGTGATTTAATTCCAAGCGTATTTTTTATTGTTTCACTACTAAAAGCCATTTGAGCAGGAATCAGCGATTCAAACTGACTGTTCGCTAGCAGAACGGGCCAAACGCTTTTCATATTTTGCATTTTGAGTTTTAAGTTCAAAGCGATCAACTTTCGTCCAAAGTACTCAATTCCAGCCCACCGCAGAATTCTAAACTATTTATTTAAAGTAGTTCGTTCCACTCTCTAGCATTAATTTCTTGTGAATAAGCGCTCATTTGGTGTGTCCGATCTGTTTACGATCAGTGCGCTCTCCTATTTGCATTGACTGGAAACGTTGACTTCGCAGTCGCGGTCACTGCCGGCGTTTTAACTTAATTAAGCAACAGTTACTCACCTTTTTCCCCACGTGATCGTCATTTGATAGTACAGCGCTGCTCACACAAACGCCCACACTCGCTCGCGTATACACACACATACACATACACATGCACGTATGTAATTACTCGTAAACACTCATAAAGCAGTTGCCAGTATGTACGTATTTTCGCTCATTTATTTATTTGTATTTAATTGATAAGTATACAACTGTCAATTGCCAATTGGTGGCTAGAGGCGGGCGCTAATGGCGCATTCATACCAAACGTTTAGATGGGAAAAATTTCTTAACCCAAGAATTAGTGCAATTGTTTGTGGATAAATGAAGAAAATAGCGTGAAAAAAGCTTTCTACAAAAATGTTTTCTTTATTATGGATTACCAAGAATCTAACCGCGGCTGAGTGGAAGAGCGCCCTACCTCGGCTGCCGGTTCGCAAATACCCTACCTCAGCAAACGGTTGAAAATCTCCCTATTTCAGAATATGGTTGCAGAACGCCGTAACTCAGCAAATTGTTCACGAACGCCCTATCTATGCTGCCGATACGTCCAATTTACATTGAGATAGCGCGTTTTCGAACCGTCAGCCGAGATAGGGTGATAGACCATTTCACAATGCAAAGAGAAAGTTCGTTGATATCGGATATGATGGTTTGATAGTTTAATAACTACATATTACATGTTATATTTTGGTAAGATGTCATTACCGGCCTTTCTTAGACTGCTGACCAAAAAGAATTTGACGTTTTAAAGGTCCTAGTTGGTTGGCTGTTTGAATGGTAGAAAAAAGGTTGGCCGAATTCTAGTCCTATCAAGTACAGAGTAATTACAAATGAGGGGCTCTCCTCTTCTGCAGCTGGTAAATTACAGCTACTACGACAAGCCGTGTTGTGTTCCAGTGCAAGTCTTGCAGCAAGGATGCCCACAGCGCAGTATTCTGTGCCAACTACCGCGGGATCAGCCCTCTAAGCTTAGGTTACAAGGTCTTATCGCGCGTATTGAGTGAAAGACTGCAGCCCACCGTCAATGAACTGATGGGACCTTATCAGTGTGGCTTTAGACCTGGCAAATCCACCATAGACCAGGTATTCACAATACGCCAAATCTTGGAAAAGGCCCGCGAGAAAAGGATCGACACTCAACACCTATTTGTCGATTTTAAAGCCGCTTTTGACAGCACGAAGAGAAGTTGCCTTTATGCCGCGATGTCTGAATTTGGTATCCCCGCGAAACTAATACGGCTGTATAAAATGACGTTGAGCAATACCACCAGCTCCGTCAGAATTGGAAAAGAATTCTCCGAGCCGTTCGCCACAAAACGGAGGCATGAAAATCCAACGCAGAATCACTCTTGCCAACAAGTGCTACTTTGGACTGAGTAGGCAATTCAGGAGAAGGACCGAATTAAAATACAGCGGCTCCGCTGGCTTGGCCATGTCCTTCGAATGGACACCGACGCTCCAACTCTGAAAGTATTCAACTCGGAACGCGCTGGTGGTAGCAGAGGAAGAAGGAGGCCCCACTGTGATGGAAATATCAGGTGGAGAAGGACTTGGCTTAACTTGGCGTTTTCAATTGGCGTCAGTTGGCACAGAAGAGAAACGACTGGCGTGCTTGGCTGAATTCGGCCAAAAGCGCTTAGGCGGTTACAGCGCTAAAAAAGAAGAAGAAGAAGTGGTAAGGATAGTGGCAATAGTACTGCAAAAAAGATCCGCAAGGTTGCGCTGGAGTCGAGTTATTGCTAAAAGTTGTCAAGTGAAGTCATTCGGAGAAACCAGGCATCAAAGTAGTCAAGTTACCACCGTTAAATCTACTGCCATAACCATTTTGGTCCTTGATTTACTGTGACTAAATAGAACAAAGACAATTCTTGATGAATACCTACAAAGAAAATTGTAAGGCATTTGTGATATTTCGTCTGAAGTAAGTCTATGTATATTGGATTTCTGTAGACCAATGATACTCCCCCAGCTTGAAATTGCCTCCACATTCAAGGACACAGGATATAGGATATAAGGATACAGATTCGAGGACGATTCAACATCGTACCGGATCATTGTTGCCCCAAGAACTTCTTCACCGACATAACGACTTCGTTAGGTTATTTAAGACGGCAATAGAGAATATGCTTTCTGACGACCACAAAACCAAACTTGAACATGAATTGTGATGAAAACGTTGGACCAAATATTTCCGGGCCAGCTAGTATTTTATAATCATCGATGTGTGTTGAAAAAGAAAACCCTATTGTTATTCTGTTGATAATCCCCTCAGCCTTTCTAATAGATAATGAATGGAAAGTTACTAGTGGTCTGTTTTACATCAAAACATTGGAAGACCTTTTCTCAACTTCTTCATTCTCCGCGAGGAAAACTTAGTTTTCTGTTTGTGGCTTATGGACAAAACCTTAATTTATCAGCAATAAACTGTGATAATTTACGAACACAATGAATAGAATTTACATGGATGATATTTTCAACTTTGCTTAACTAGTCTTATCTCAGTAAGCGTGTGCTGCTGCAGTTCTAATAAATTTTCCATTCACTCCACGTGCTGTATGTTTCACGATAATTGTCTGCTTATTTTATGAGCAAACATTAGGTTGGTGCAAAAAAAAACTTATAATGCGTTAAGCTCTGATCCCCAGAATTTTTCTAAATGGAATAAAAAATACCCGTATTTTCTTGTTAAAAAAAAAAACGATACTGCGCCAAGGCCCATCGCATTTTTTGGGGGACGTAAAAAAATAGTTATCTAATATTTCTTCAAAAATGGTTAAAAAACAACTGGGTATGGTTATTGAAGGAGGCTTCTTAAGAGAGGCTCCTAAAGAGAATCGGAGTTTTCCGATCGAAAAATATTGATTTTCAAGAACTCTTGATGTGCTTTGAGGCAGTTCTAAATATAATTTTTTAATACGGGTATTTTTCCCCATTAAAAAAAAAATCCTACGGAACAACGACATTAAAGATTTTTTTTCGCAAGTATTTGTGGACCGCCCTAGTATAAAAACATACATGCTCGAGCTTTTGGCGGACCCATTGTTTTAATGTTTAGTCGTGTAGAACAAGAAGCAAATCATTTCAATTTTTATGCTGTTTTTCGGATATTAAATTAGTCACTTGCAATGCGAAATTCGTCACAGCAAACACTGGCACTCGTAAAATAAAAGTGAAAAATATGAATAATTAAAAAATAAGAATGAATTACTGAGACTGGAAGTGCATGCCTACATACGTACATACATATATGTATAGCGTAAATAGCATGCAGTAGCAGTTGAAAAGTATCGAATTGATAGAAGGAAATCTGAAAAACAACCCCAACTTAATGTTCATTCTGAGGTTGTCGTATTGATTGGCAAAAGAAATGAAATAATTCACATTTAATAGAAGGACTGTGATCAGAAAAAAAGTCTTTACATTTTTTACTCTTTTGTTGTAGTTTTTTTTTGGTTATCAATAGAATTTTTGAATTCTATATTTATAGGAAATCTGTTTAAAATATTCATGAAAATTTTTCGCCATAGAGATCGGCACAGACCTGTTCAGTTATTTCCTTCCTATAGCTCAATTTCTCGGCTTTATAAGTTCAGCATAAACTATGCGGTGACTTAGGTCAGTATTGAGCGTGCACACATACATCTTACACTTACATACATATGGCGGTATTTTGTAAATGCTCTTAAACACACAAACAAAAAATTGGCGCTTTGTTTCCACTGCAGACAAATGTGATACCATTACAGTGGAAGAACCTCAGCGTTTTTTTATGCTATCGAAGCGATTTTTACAACAAATATGTAAATACATATGTACTAAGTATAGGTACAAAAGGCAGTTCCATATGGCCGTTATTTACTTTATTTTTCCTTTAATATTTTTTCATTTTGTACTCGCGATGTTGTCACTGCAAATGCAAATGCAATTTTGGCAAAAGCGCGCGAATGCATTGACCAGCGCGACAACAGCGAGCCACCTGAGCTGAGCTGAGCTGCACTAAAGTAAGCTAAAGTAAAGGCGCCCACAAAATGCCCAAATGGCAAAAAAAAACAAAAAAAAAACAATCTCGAATATGAATAGCCTACGAGTAGTATGAGTGGTGGCTTTCTTTCATGGCTGTGTGATAGAATGTTGCTGCTTATTCGCTATCGATTCATTTGCCATGTGCCTATTTTGGTTTGTTTAGCTTTTTTTTTTGTTTTTTTTTTTCGTTTGGACTCTTAGCTTGTTTGGTTGATGCACGAAAATACATCAATGTGATTAGTTACTTTTCAAATTAAATTTTGATTTTTGTTCATAAATAATGGTAATATGCTTAGGCAAATTTTATTTGCGCATTTTTGTGTCGTTGTGTGTCAACGTGCAACTGCAAATACATTCTATACATTTATGAAATTTATAAAAAAAAAATATTTCTAATCATTGGGAATGATTAATAAAAAAAAAGAAAAACTAAAATGTGCATTCGCTTTCAAAGGTTAGGTGAACGAAATGTATATTTGCAGGATCATAATTAATTGCAACTGGAAATTTAGGTAGAATAGGGCATTGCGCTCCTTCTTATATGCAGCGGCAATATAACCATTTATGTATAAAGTACTTCCCCTTTTTCGCCTGACTAAGGACG